CGTTGCTCCCCGCCCCGGGGCAGCGCGCGACCGTTACGCGACCGTTGCTCCCCGCCCCGCGCGCTCTGAGCACGCGCGAGCATGCGCCGTGCCGCGCTGAGGCTGCGCAGCGCTCCGGGTTTGGCCCCGTCCGCGCCCAGGGCGTGCTTGAAGCCAGTTTGCTGTATGCAGCCTGTGAAAGGAACGGAAAACAAGCAAATGAAACGTGGGGGGTCAGATGTTTCCAAGAGGGAGCTTGAACGTGTTGCCAATGGATTGGTTCAGGTTGCTGCTGTGCAAGGGCATCCTGAAGCCGCCTTCCTTACGGTGGGCAAGAAAGTGAGAAAATAAAAATAAGAACAAAGGAGATGGAAGTGGAGAGAGGAGCTTCTTGTTTGTACTGGTTCACTTTCACAGCCTCAAGCACTAAACTGCCAGTCACATCAAACAAAATGTTATGGCTTTATATATTTATATTACACTGTATTACTGCGGTTGAACCGGGCGGTTTTCCACGGATCTGGGCTGCGACGGCTGAGTTTAACTTCCCCGGCCGTGCAAGTGTCACCGAGTCACTTCCCAAGAGCGAGGCATGCACAAAACACACAGCGGCTCCCGCGGAGGCAGCGTTGGTCTCGCCCTTGGGACCATGGAGGGTGTTGGCGACATTCGGCAGTTGACCAGCTGGCCAAACACCGCAGCCTGAATTAATTTCAAGAGCCTGAGAGACCTTTTTTTCCCACCCCCTAGGAAGGGGTGTAATGCCAAATCCTAACACAGTGCTAATAATTCTCAAATTTCAGTTAGTGAGTTTAAGGATAGTACGAGGTAGCAGATGGGCCTGCTCACAAACTCCAACCAGGAGCACACGCTGAAAGGTTTGGTTTGACCTGGGACCAGGTGATGGCTTGCAGAAGGAAGACCCTTTCCCTGCATTTTCCCTGTTGTCATCAATCAGCAGAAAAGAAGCTCAGACTTGAAATCTTCGGGCCCCTCTGTCACAAAAATAAGTAGTCTTCTCCTCCAATTAATTAAACAAACTGATATAAATTCCCCACTTAAATCGTACTGTGCACATCCATAATCTCTGCACTACATTTTATGTGTACTTTACCCTTGGGTAAAAATTTGTGAGCATATAAATGCTTTCTCATATAATCTTGCTAAAGCACACTCTTGCCTATAAATATTCATACCACTGCCAAAACATTTGCAAGCTTTCCCCAAAGGTGAAATATGTGTAATGTACTTTGCCTTCTGGGTATAAATATTATCCAATACATTTTGGTTAATATGAATACACTAATTATTCTTGTAACCCTTTTTAAAAGGGTCATCCTCATGATGTGAATTTTTTAAAAATGTAATTACAGTAATTGGATACTTAATCTAATTAAAATTGGCTTTATCTTTAATGGGAATTTTTCTAAAGAGGCAGAATGACAATTGACTTTCTGATAATCAGTGTTTTCTTTCAGCTAGAGGATGCATTTAGTACAGCAGGAACCAGAGAACATGGCCTCTTTACCATATGCCAGCCACCTTTTGAGCCACTTAAACTATAATTTTATCCATTATGGGCAAAACTTTTACTTTACTCATAAATAAAAGTCCTGCATCCTGAGTATTGATTTCATTGTGGCTCTGATGCAGATAATTCAAAGAGCACATATAGCACCAACCACTCTGCAAAGCCCCCTTAAAGAGCATGACCTACAGGAGACTGTGGCAGTGCACCACAAAGTCTTCATCTTTGAGGATTCATGTCACTAGCTCCATAGAACTGTGATGTGTAGAGTCATATTTGGGACATATTTTGTACTGAATATGCAAAATAGGTGCTTTTCAGACATGATTCACTAGACCGTAGGTAGAAATCTACTTTCGGATGTAAAGAAATACAGCATGTTTTTCCCCATTGGCGAAAAAGGGTGCACAAAGTCTCTTGCCCAAACAACTGGCCACCTCGCAGTTGTGAATACAGATCAGATAAATCCCACCAAGTGAGAAGCAACAACAACAAAAGAACTGTCTTTGAAGCAAAAGAATTTACTCAGGAAGTGGAAAAGAGAATTCTAGCATGAGAAACCAGGTGAGACTCAGAAAGAAAGTTTGGTCAACATGGAAGCTGGGTTGGAAGAGTTATAAAACCTAGTTGAGAAAGAAATAAAAGTGGAGGTTCCTTGGTAACATAGGAGATTTTCATTGCTTATATGGTTTTGACCCAGTCATCAAGATGAGCTAACCAGAGCACAGCTAATTGCAGTATCTAGAGAGCTCTGCTTTGGGCTGAAATACCTGCAAGCAGGTCTGCTGCTGCCTCTCTCAGGTGCTTTGCTCGCAGCAGAGGACATATTACTGGAAAAGAAACCATCACCGTCCTCTGCACTCCCTCCCTTGAGGTATTTATATACACTGATTAGATCCCCTCTCAGCCTTCTCTTCTCCAGGCTGAACAGGCCCAGCTCCCTCAGCCTCTCCTCATAGGGCAGATGTTCCATAAATAAAAAAAAAGAAAAAAAAAAAAGGTTCATGAGCTTAGCGTGTAACCAGTATGCCTCTCATAGGCTGGTGTGTTCTCACAGGGCTCCAACCACGCAAGGTGGAAATAGGGATCTTTCACTGAATCATTGTCAACTAAGGAGGTTAATCATCTACAGTGTGTTTCAACAACAGTCTGTGCATAAAAGAGGAAGAATAGTGTCTAGGTATTGAGAAAAAAAAAGAATCTGGAGTGAAATTAGCGATAATGAAAAGAAACAGTACACTTAAAGACTAGCATTGGGAAAAGCTGATCACAAAATGAGCACACAGCTTCAGAGGCATCCAGGAAATCCTCTAGTTTTGAGAATTACCATCAGTCTGGAGCTATAATTTTCAGTTTATTAAAACCATTTTCCTTGTGAAAACCCTTTATTTTGAGAATATGGTGAAAATGCCATTGCCCACCAGTTGGTTTAAGGAAAATAACGTTGTGTAAGTTACACCATTGGATCAAGAGCTGATGGCACCATCTGATAGCCTTTACTGAGCTAAAGCAGCCAGATGGAAATCAAAAATGAAGGTAATGTTGTCTTTCAAAGAGAACATTTATGTTTGGCCCTTACAAGAGGGGGAACTTTCAGTGGTAAAAGAACAGTGAATTGTTGGGTAATTGATCACCTACCAGGCACACACAGATTTTGAGAATCTGTGAAGGCTGTGTTACTCTTATGGAAAACCCAGTTTTAGGCCCAGCAGTATTTTGGCAATGATGCAGAGAGGGAAAAGAGGAAACTGCTGTAGCAGCATCAGAATGAGTTTCAGTATTCGCAGAACTGAAAAGCCTTGTGATTAATGCTTACACTTTGGGGCCACTAGCAGCTAATGAATGCAGAGAAATTGAGTGGATAATGGCCAATTATGAAAAATTAAGTTTTTGGAAATAAATTTTTTGGATTGTCTTAGGAATTCCTGACTCCATCAATGTGGTCAGTTCGATTCATGGTTCTCATCAAAGCTGCTTTTGATTTTTGGATTCTGTCTTGGCCAAAATCTCTGCATTGCTGATATTCTCTCCAGTTAGGCTTATTGAGAAACCAATTTCAAACATTGCCCTAAGCATGAAGGAGACGTATTGGCTGCTGAAGGAAGTAAAGGTGCTCAGGGAAAAAGAGAAAAAAGCCTATTGCCTCTCTTGTCTTTTTTTGGAGACATATGAGTGTCTCTCGTCTTTCAGTGGTACGGTTGCAGGAAGCAACTACCGAGTAACTGACCTTGTCGTGTATAGCCCCTTAGAATACCACAGGAAAAGGGTGTTTTTTTACTGTCGTTGGTTTTTTTTCCCTTTTTTTTTTGTCTAAGAGAAAAGTTGAAGTTTAAAGAAAACTTCTTGTAGATTCAGAAAAAAAAAATCCTCTTAGCTATTGGTAGAAATCCCAACGGGTTGTACTGGATTTATTTAAAAGATAATAAAATCCTGAGGCTCTATCATGGTTTTAAAATGCAAGGACAGCCTGAAATTACAAAAATCTTAGCAAGCCTACGAGAAAGCTTCTGTTAGGTGTCTTGTGGAGGAAATCAGGTGTTTCTGATAAAAAGGAAAATCCTCAGAAGACCAGAAGGGCCCTTATATGACTTGTGCTTTGCTTTGACTGGAGTCAAAGAAAGTGGGTGCCAATCCTATTATCCACAGGATTATTTCAGGAAGCAATTTGATACCATGTACAGTAAGAAATGAACAAGCTGAACAACTATGTTCTAGTGAATTCGTTTAGAGCAGATTTAGTATCTCACATGCATCGCAGGCAGGAAAAAACTAAGATTCAAATCCAAAGCATTACTGAGAGTTTTTGGATATCCATGAGGCCAGCATCCCACCTGCATGCCCACAACATGAGAGAATGAGGGAGCTGCTCAGCTGGAGACGTATCCGGCTGTGCAGCTGAGCAGCCAACAAAGCCCTTTTTTTTTCCAGGCTGCAAAACTGGGAGCGGGACCAGGCGGAGGCAGGTGCGGTGGGAAGGGAGCCCGGCCAGAGCAGGCGCGAACAGCGGCGACGCGGCCGCGGCTCCATCCCAGCACCAACGGCCACAGCTTCCCCCGGGACACAGGGAACCATTCCCGGAAGGCTGGGTGAAGGGCAAAGCTGGCTTTTGACTGACAGTGGCAAAGCAGCCTGACATCAAGGCACGATAATTTGAAAGTAATTACAATTGCCTTCTTATCTGGGGAGTAGTGCAAAATGTGTGGGCTTAGGAGGTTACCTGGTAAGTGCAAATGACGATTTCAGCTTTTGAGGTAGCTAGAGCTCTGTAACTTCAGGAAATAGTGAGCAACTGTCTAGCTGAAACAAGAAGAGCTTCCCCCGAACCCATTTCACTCTGCACAAATCCAAGGCTTCCTCAGTGTAACTGGGCATGGAGGCAAATTTTAGCCCTGCTTAAGAGAAAAATGCTGCTGGTCAGCTACTTGCCTCACTTGGAAGTGCCTGGTTCTGGGTTACTGACCACCTGGGGCGTTAAGGTAAGTAGTATTGCCCCATTTCTTGTTGTGCAAGTCATGATGCCCTTAAGTTTTGTATAGAAACACCAGAGCAAAGTCTCACTGTCTCCTCCAGACAGAAACAGCCCTCGATGCTCCAAACATCAGCTAAATCACTTGATAACACAATCATGCAACCGTTTTTCAACTTTAAAGCCAAATATTTCGTCA